CCACTTCATATCAGTAGAAAATTTGAGACCAAGGAGGCACAATGAATTTGATGTCTTGGAGGCTAGCATCAGCCATGCTGATAGAAGACAAAAAGGGTTCTCTACAATCATTAAGATATAGCAATTTCATTTTGGGAGCATTAAAAATTTACAAGCTATTTTTTGCCTCTGTTAACAACTGATTCAAACTCATTTCCAATATCAACTTCCAAATTTATTTTATCAGTCCTATAGGACTTACTATTAAGACAAGAGTAAATAGTTGTCATCAGCATACTGATTTGGGAACTGATGATATTGCAAAGATTGTTAACAATTATGTTCAAGGATAGAGCCCTAGGAAACCCACAAGTTAATGTGAAATGATCCAGAAGATTGACTATTCAACACATTTTTAATTACATGATTTTTTAAGAAAGACTTGATCAAATAAAAAAAATATATATTCAGAACTCTTCATTTTTTTCATAATGTATTTAAAGAAGTGGATTATTTTTTAGATTAAGTCTTCATTCCCTGTTGTAATGATTCATGTGAATTAACAACCAGTCTTGGAGAAAGGACAACTTTGAATTCAAAACTAGAACTGGAACCAACACCTTCATAAGCTTTGGGTTAAATAGTAAAAAGAAAAGCAACATGTGAGGCTTGCAATCTCTGCTCATAAAAACTTACTTGCTAAATCATGTTTAGTTATGCAATATGAAGGACAGGCCAGATTCAGGATATTATGATTTGGAATTTATAAATAAAATCACCAGGTTTGTCTCTACTAAGAATCAAAACTCAGATAGAATTTTTTTCAATCATAATAATTTTGGGGACCTTAGTTTAGCTAGTCATTACAACTGTGTAAGTTCAGTACTCACTTGGTCTCCAGACGTGTGGCCTTAGTGTTACATGAAGCTAAACATTGTAAATTCTGATAACACAATGTTTTCTATAATTGTTTTGATCATAAAAGTAATTATACAGCAAGAATGAAATTTCCAAGTTGAATATAATTTATTATTAAAAGGAATAGAGATAAATAAAGCAATTAAAAAGACCCTCGACTACTCTAGGTTGTCATAACTTATATCCCCATCTTCTATGACATATTGTTATAATGTTTCATTATCTTGAAAATCTCATGAGCTCCTGTATATTTAAGCTCATACAATAATCAAAATATATCTCTCAATGATCCCAGTTCTTTTAAAAGTTCTTCAATTCTATTGATTAAGTTCTCTTCCTATCTTGCATGTGAAAGCTTCATAATCACCTAATGAAGTTCATTCACTTTGGGTCTCTGTTGTAAGGAAGATGTCATTTTCTTCTCTGTTCTGTGTCCCTTCAGAATGTTGACAATAATAGCTCTCTACAATTTAAATTAATTTTGCCTTTTTTTTAACATCTCCTAAACCTTGCTTCACCATCTATTTACTCAAGATCATTAGATAGGTTATGCATTGTTTTTCTCTCTCCCACTTCACTCTCGCCTTCACTCTGTACTGTGATTGTTAAATTTTCCAAGCCTTCTTTCTTCATTATGTGCTCTAAAAATTTCAACTCTTTCTGATATTAAGTATAAGCGTCCTTTTTATTCCCATTTTCTTCAAAACTTTGTTGTTATTCACATGTTTGATCCATGGTATTCTCTGTAACCTTCTGTAGAACCATATTTCTGTTCCTTCACTTCTATTTTTCCTCTGTCAGTAAATTGTCCAATATTCACTGCCATATAGGAGAAATGATATTATGTAACAGTTCAGTACTCTTTTCTTTGTTTCCTAATGTATTTTCCTTAATAACTTGCTTAACTTTTTGAAGGGATCTTTTGCTATTCCAACACATCTTTAGTGTCACATTTTCCATACACCACTCTTAAAATGTTTCAGTCTGTGTTGGGCAGCACAATCAGCTATTGTTAAGTTTCCCTCTCCTTGCTGAATTCTGTGGACAGCTTAAAATAAGACCAGTTTAAAATAAAGTCCTCTAATTACCAGAACCTTAATAATATTATCTCCTATTAGAATACCTGAAGCAAAACATATAAATGTATAATAATGATTGATATATATATATATATATATATATATATATATATATATAGTATTACTAATATAGGAGAGTCATAGTTTTTTTAGATGTGTACAGACTGAGATTACTCAACTAACTTGAGAAATGTTATGCTCATGATGAAATCATTTAAATAAAAAGTCAAAGCGCAAAGCAATAATCTTGAATGCCATCCATTCAAAATTTAAAACAACTTGAGAACATTTTAATGTTATCAGCTCTGAACATGTGCACAAAAACCAGCTGACAATAGAACTGATGATGGTCAACAGAATAATTGTGCAATTAAACATTGTTATTGTTGATTGTTCCTTGCAGCTTACTTGCAAAGGGATTGCATTCTTGATGTTCAATGAATGCAGTAAGCCTGTAATTAAGTTTCAGCTTGCATACAGTAATGACATTCATCAAAATTAACAGGCAACAGGGAAATAGGGTCTATTTTCTAGCTAGAATAGGCAAGCATTTTTAACTGGTCTCTACGGTTTTTGTTTTAGCTCAAGTTGAAAAATCATTCTGATAAGACATTCTGCCTTTGGAATTTGTCTTGACACAGTCTTCATATTCACACTATATTTCTTAATGCTTCTTCCTATTAATGAGTTCAGCTTGCTTGATGGTTGAGATAGTTGCACATTGCTTGCCAGTATAAGGGATTGGTGTTTGAGCCAGAGTAAAATCCAAGAAAATGAATGTTCATTTTTCAAACCAGGAGACGCTTCCCAGTTGGAATACTGGCTCAACACAATCTTCCTATTTGTCTTACTATTTAACTCTTTTCAAGAATAAGATTAGTTGTGTCTGCTTGATGTTGAATATTTCCCATCAGTGTTGAAAATTTGTTTTTTTTCCCCAGAATAAACCCCAAGTCAATGGGCGTTCCCCATGTTAAAAATTGGTATAACATAGTCTTCCTATTCTCATATATCACATCTGATCTTTAAACTAAGCTTAGTAAATATTTAAAAGGTGAATGTACTATAAATTTTCTCTTTTGGTTCCTCAACTGACAAGGCTGAATTCTTTGCTTGGAAATTCTCATTTAACTCAACGCTCAACTCCACTGGTGTACCCATACCAGACTTCCCTCCAAGAACTGAGGCCCGATTGAGGGGCTTACACATAACCCCGTCATTGGTACTGGGCATTATCTCCAACTTAGACCCCCACAAGGCTAGTGGTGGAGATGGCATACCAACCATTGTCTTGAAGAAATGCGCGCCTGAGCTAGCGCCCGCCCTCTCTAAACTGTATAATTACTGCCTTAAGGAATCCTGTTTTCCTGTCTGCTGGAAGTCCTTATCCATTGTTCCTGTGTTTAAGAACTCTGGAGACCCCTCTGACCCCTCTAATTACCGTCCTATTAGTCTCCTATTCCTCTTCGGCAAAGTCTTCGAAGCCCTAATCAATGCCGAAGTGGTTAATCACCTTACATCCCATAATCTGCTCTCAGACAAGCAATATGATTTCCGCTATGCCCGATCTACAGCTGATGTGCTTACGGCCATCACTGAAACCGTCTACCATGCCCTTCAAAATAATGGTGAGGCTTGTGCCGTGGCCCGAGACATCTCCAAAGCATTTGATAGAGTTTGGCACGCTGGCCTTCTTCATAAGCTCCAGGGTTATAGTATTACTGGTCAACTGTTTGATCTAATACAATCATTCCTGTCAAACCAAGAATTGAAGGTCGTTCAAACGGATTCTCCTCCAGTTCCTATCCTACGAACGCAGGTGTTCCCCAAGGCTCCATCCTTTACCCCACTCTTTTCCTTATTTTCATCAATGACCTTCTTCATGCCATAGATTCCCAAGTTGGCATCTACGCAGACGACACTACAATTTACTCCTGCCTCAAAAACAAATCTAGTGTTGGCGACAAAACTAACCTGGCCGTGCGTCTTGAAATGGACCTCCAATCGGTTGTTAACTGGGGCAAGAATTGGCTGGTCAACTTTAATACCTCAAAAACTAAATTACTCTCCATTAACCACCATAGAGATCCTTCCCTGCCCCCCATTAAAATGTCTGATAGTCAACTTCCTGAGAGCAATTCGCTGCATCTGCTCGGTCTCACGCTGACTGCTGACCTGAGATGGAACAAATACATTGAGTCAATTGCTTCTTCCAATGCGAGGAAAGTTGGCTCTCTGTGCCGTGCCAGGAAATTTTTCTCCCCTGAATCGATACTTCAAATATACAAAACAACTATTCGCCCTTGCATGGAGTATTGCTGCCATATATGGGCTGGAGCACCTTCTGCTTATCTCGGAGTTCTTGACAAGAACCAGAGATGGATATGTAGTCTAATTGGCCCTGATCTGGCGTCCTGCCTGCAGTCACTCTTTCACAGACGCGCCCGTCACCTCTCTCTGTCTTTTCTAATAAGTACTTCCATGGTAATTGCTCTGATGAGCTGCTTTCACTGGTCCCCAGACTCCATGAATTCAAAGCGCCCCCTACGAGGCTGGCATCCCGGGCCTCCCACCCTTACACTGTAGAAATTTTTAAATGTCTCTTCTACTCCAATAGCTTCATACCTCGCACCTCTCGCCAGTGGAACACCCTCCCCAATTACTGTTTCCCTGAGAGCTATAATCTCCAACTGTTCAAATGTAATGGCAACTGACATCTCCAGTTACCTTGATCTACCCACTATCCCTCTCCTTGTCCTTTCTTCTATCACTCCTATCTGCTCTCGCTCCAAATCTTCCGCAACTCCCTGCATCCTAGTGGCTTCACGCCTTGCTTGGGGCGTAATGCTTAAAAAAAAAAAAAAAATTTGTGTCAAATATCAGCAGTAGTGTAAAAAGATTAAAGATAGATAATAGTAAAACTGTATTCTATATATTATTTTAATTAGAAAATTAGAAGTATATTTGAAAACTTCATCTTTTTATTGCAAATATTCTTACATGAAGGTTGTTTTTTGTCAGCAGAGTGTCCCAAAGGCACCTTTGGACGAGACTGTATTGAGAAATGCTCAGCAACATGTAGAGATGCTGCTTGCAACCGCTTCAATGGAAGCTGTACCCATGGATGTGTGACAGGCTACACAGGACCCCAGTGCCAAGAAAGTGAGTACCTAATTGGGTGATGATAGGCAAAGTCTCTTATGAAAATCAATAAGAATTTTAAATAATTCCTTACCATTTTTGTGAAGTCTTAACATCTTGTTATTATTACAATTGTTTCCAATATTAATTTGTTTTTGTTTTCTGTAAGCCTTTTTGTTAGTTTTTAAGTTGTTATATTTTATATTTAATCACTCATCTTTTCATTCCTGTAATTTACTTTTTTAAGGAAGCTGATAAAATTGTTTTTCCTTTGACACGTTCTTTTTCAGAGCAGCTGAAAACATCTTAACATACATAAACATCAGGATTAAAAAAAATTTCTGTTGCATTAGATATTTTGATAAATAAGTAATTTTAAATGAAAATCTATATATATTTGGTGATATTAAACTCTTATCTCTAGATAGGCTGTATTTTATTTCGACATTCATGACATGATTAATGATGTAATGTGGGCCTCCAATTTTCATCAAGAAAATGATGGTTTCATTTGATAGAAGTGAGACTGAAATAAAATTAAGGAGAAGCAACTAAAGCAATTATTTTAAACAAAGAAATTTCCTTTTTGAACAATATGAAAAAAGTAATGAAAATAACTCTGAAAAGTATACAATTTAGTCTCTTCTGTTTACTAAAACAACAATATTTTTCATTAATTTTATATTTACACAAAAATCCCATGAAAAAATATATAGAGGCTGGTATTCAATACAAATAAAATCAGTCAGATTTTAATTTTTCAAGTATTTACTATCAACAAATATTTTCTCTATAGTTAAACCTTTTATAAAATTTATACATTCAACAAAATTTTTTCCATTGAATTATAGTTTTCAAAACTTAAGTAAACATTATTTTGTAATTAATCTACATCCTTGTTCAAATTAATTGAAACAACCACTTTAGTTTCCTTTCTTTCACCATACGGTCAGTTTTAGACCCACTGGAGTGACAGGGTGTAATCGATTTCTATTTTTTTCTCAGATTAGGTCCTTTGCTGTGTTGTGCAGTAATATGAGTCTATTTTCAGGGTGTATGATGAAATTTGTTTGGCTTTGAAAAATCTTGACATTTGTGACTGCATCAGATTTCCATCATGCCCAGACACAATTGTCTCATCTGTCAATTAGTTGTCCTACGACAATTGTCTGTGATGAGTGTTACTCCAAGGAAGCATACAAAAACTGTAGCACTGCACGAATGCACTGCCAAGCCTTACCAGTGAGCAAATCAAAGTACTATAGACTGGATGGAAACTCTCCTGATTTAAATCCAATCAAGAATCTGTGGTCAATCTGCAAGGAATGACTTTGTGGAATGTATATACAAAGTACTAACATGTGCACTAGGTCATGCTTCATTGAAAAAATACAAAAAAAAGTAAATAAGGGTCTATATTCAGATGACATGTAAGAATTATGGGTTATTTCTTAATTGTTTCAAAAAACCATTATTCTACAATGTTTTGAGGAAAGAAGGAAGAAAGTTAAAAGATAGTATAGAGATATGGCAAAGAATGGATGGGAGAATGATAAAAAAGATGGGATCTTATTAATTATTAGAATTTTTGCAGCTGAAAAAATTAGTATGCTTCATGAGTAAAGAAGTGCCACATAAATGGAGAGTTCAAGTCTCATTGGAAGCTTTCTTTATTACAAGTTTAATTTGTTTGCTTTACCTTTTTAAGAGTATATAGTTCCATAATAAAGAATAAAATGAAATTAAACTAGTAATAAAATAAGAAAAAATGCTAAAAATATTTTAGAAAAATAACATAAAACATTGAAATTCCCATATATTTTACTTTTTAAATACCCTATTTTCTCTATTTCTCACTGCTGATCCATATTTTTCATGTAAAACAATGAAGATGGATACATGATTCATTATTTTCATCTTCTTTAAATGGTACTCTCATTTGTATCTTATAGAATGGACAAAAGTTGCTGTTGAAAGAGATTCTTGGTTATTTGTATGATTCTCTAAATGCTTCTAGCCAAGATGTTTTAATAGCCATTTGAAATTAACATATTTTTGTTTTAATTCTTGATCATTATGTATTACCTAATGAAAATTGAGGTGTAGTAAAGCAGGAAGCCCCATATAGATTTGAGGAGACATACAAGACCCTTGAACCAGTTCTGGAAGCCAAGTACCATTATTCTAACCACTTGACCACACACCCATATATATATATAGACTTATAATGAAAACAGAAATTATTTTATCAAACAATGAATTTTCAATGCAATCAAATTCTCTTTCAATGCACTCAATTCAATAGAGAATATTAATCACATACTGAACATTATACAGTAAAAATTTCAAATCAAAATTAGAACTAATAAATACATGTCAAGCTGTACAGTTATTGATGCAGTTTTGCATTTAAGTATATATCTATGCATGCAAGTATATATATATATATATATATATATATATATATATAGTCATCCACAGACAGACTGTTTTGCTGCATCACAGCTCTTCAGTATGATTGCTTCAAGCCAAGATAGAAACTCGAATGATTTGACATCAGTCAGAGACTCTTACCCCTAGGCTATTGGTGCACACTATGGAGAAAGTGTATTTTTAATGCATTATATACATTATATAAGCATTATCAGCTGCCAGAGTGCTCCATTCCCTGTGAAGAGCTTAGCATTATGGAAGCACCAGCTGTCAAATACCCTTTTTTCCAAAGTGCTCAACTGACAAACAGGAGATCTGCCAAGAAAGGTGAAATGTTAAAAGATCCTGGATGCAAATTTTCTGTGTATGATCTAGTGACTAAATCACCTATATATTTTCCTCTTAATAAATTACTTTCTCGTTTAATTATAGTATCATTTTTTTAAATGAAAATTATGGTGAGACTCATTACAGTGAAAAACTAATGAACTAAGTGTCCTATTTTGCAAAATATCTCTGTGTGTTCATATAATCCTTTGTTTAAATTCATTGAGGTTTCTCTTATCTGTGCTTTTTTGCAATTATTACAGGTGATTGAACAAATTCCTCCTTCAAATTTTATCTTATTTTTCTTTTTATTGAGTTTCTAATTGTTTTAGAAGTAGTTCGAACAAATTTTATGTTAAGTTGATATTAATGAGTGTTGTTTTTTTTTTTTTTTAATTAATAAGGCTTCCACTAATTTTTGCCACTTTTTTACATGTAGATGATGCTATTATATTTGTACTGTTAACAAGTATATTGTGAATAGGTCTCCATGAGTATTTAAATGAGACCTAACTGAGCTATGGTTAGAAAGTTGTAGTGTCTTTCTGACACAATATGTTGACCGTGTTTCGAAAATAACACATTCCATAATACTAAATACATACATACAATTATCCATTTCCAGTTAACAGTAACTATAATTTATCCTTGATAATGGCTAAAGATATAGCCAAAAGTGGTTGGAAAAATAAAAAATTTGGACAATTTTTGTATAATTTATCTACAGAAAAGAAAAAAATTATAAGATTATATGAAAAATTATATAAAAAACTTAATTAAAGCACCATGTATGTCATATTTAATGAAGCTTGCATGAAAGAAGGATTGCTGCCTAAATACACAATTATATATTAATCAATTTTCCTTAATACAGGGTACATAATTTAATTATTTTAGAAATATCATAGATAAATTTATTTCCAAATATTTATTTCTTTTCATTGAAGGAAATAATAACTTAATTCTGCACAGTATTTAAGAAAAAGAAAATTATAAATGTTTAGAAATTATCAGAAAAAGAATTCTGCCTGATGAGAAAGCAATGACAAAAAAATAATGTGACCAAATCTTTCAGATAGGATCTGAGTTTCTTTTTATCAGTAATATTTTTTAATGTCAGTTCACAAGATAACAGATGCAAAATGTTTCCTCAAAACTTATCAATCATCTTAATGCATTCAAAAGCTTCTCTCAAATTTTGTATCCAAGTTCATTCGTTTCCCTTAGATTTGACTTTATTTTTCATTCATGTTCTTTAGATTACTGAAAAAGAAATAAGACAATTTTCAAAATATTCTTTGAACTTTAAGATATTTGAAGATTCTATAATTAAAACTAACTGAAGTGATGATTCTAAGAGTTTTTATCAAAATTTTTGTCATATTATAGACAATCATTGCTAATCTTTCCCAAAAGATGGTGAGGATACCTTTAAGGAATAGCATGTGCATAAATGGATTTTTATAGAAGTAAGAAGCTTGGCACAAGACCAGAGGGATAAGCAAGAGTTCTCCATTTTGTGGATTTTCAGATTTGAAGGGGTATCTGGAATGTGATTTGTAACACATGTCACTACAGAAAAAAATTATCCATTTCTTGAGTGTGTTCATATCCACTGTTTGGCTTCCATAAATGTTCACTTAACATTGATAGCTGTCAATAGGTGTATTTATCAATGATATATCTCTACTACATATACATGTCATTTTGCTTCTCAAGTTTAGTTTCTTATGCCAATTGCTTTCAAAGCAACCCTCAGATACAAATATGTGTGTTTGTGTAAATTTATATGAATATAAAGGAATAGGTAAATATGTCCTAAATATCCAATCCAAGAGAATATGTGTGTGTGTAAAAATGCATGTGAATATGTAAATATATAGGTCATCACTATTCAATCCAGGAGAATGTATGTTTTTAAATTTATGTGAACATATATATATATATATATATATATGCACTATCTACTCCAAGAGATTGTTTTCTTTCAAGCAATGGGGTGAGTAAATTTTAGGTGTATACTTTCACTCTTGATTCATCTGGGGTAACTTTGCCTGTTCTTATCACTTAGAACTATGCTCCTGAACTGTTTCCTGTTTTGTCTAAACTGTACAATAAATGCCTTGCTATTTCCTGCTTGTTAGAAATCCTCTTCTGTAACTACTGTCTTGAAGAACTCAGGCAAACTGTTTGATCTTTTTAACTATTGACCTCTTAGCCTTCTACCTCTTTTGGATGAAGTACTAGAGGCTCTAATCAAC